TGTAGATGCTGATCTCCTCGTCGGCGGGGCCCAGCGGGCAGCGCGGGCAGCCGAGCAGGCTCTTCTGGATCTTCTTGAGGCCCAGGTGGGCGATTTCTAGGATGTTGAGGAAGAGGGAGACGGCGGCGATGCTGTTCATGAAAACCATAAAGATGGTCTTCTCTGTGGGTCGGGACACAAAACAATCCACCGTGTTAGGGCAAGGGGGCCGGGTGCATTTGTAAAGGGGGGACATGTGAAACCCATATAAAAGATACTGACCTATCATAAAGCCCACCTCGACCACCGACCGGGTCAGGATGTGCAGGACATAGGTGCGCAGCAGGGACCCTCTCAGGGGGGCTTTGTGCACTTTTTTCTGTTCCTCCAGCTTACGCAGCTCCCTCTCCACTCTCCTGTGCTCCTCAGGCACGGGCTCCAGGTCCTCCAGCTGAGCCCGCAGCTGGGCTTTCCTCCTCTGCCGCTCCTTCTCCAGGGCCCTCAGCCTGTACAGCGCGTGGCCCATGTAGACCAGGGAGGGAGAGGAGACAAATATGATCTGCAGCACCCAGTATCTGATCAGGGAGATGGGGAAGGCTTGGTCGTAGCAGACGTTGCTGCAGCCGGGTTGCTCCGTGTTGCAGATGAACTCGGACTGCTCGTCGTCCCAGACATCTTCGGCAGCCACTCCCAGCACCAGCATCCGGAATATGAACAGGATTGTGAGCCAGATTTTGCCAACTATGGTGGAGTGGATGTGCACTTCTTCAAGGATGCTGCCCAACAGGTTCCAGTCCCCCATGGTCAGTTCATATCTGAAATACAAAGCATGAATGTCGTTTTAACACGATATGTGATTTATTTTGGAAATGGCCCTTTTTAGCATTATTTTTTTAATAATAATGATCTTTCATATACATTTTTCTGATAGGAGGAGAGCTCTTACAAGTTCATAATTATTTGCTCCTTACTAGGTTTTTGCTCCTTACTAGAAAGAGAACAACCAACTGCTGCACTAATGTGGGAAGAAAAGAACAGTTCCCCACAGGTCTTTAAATGAAGGCAAAATTCATGATTACTGGTGAAAGATGCAAATGTGAGATTATTTTAAGCCTAAGAGATTGATTTCAGCTGCAAGTCGCAGTACTTCTTAACTGCCTACAATTTTACATTATTTTCTTCCCACTAGGAAGGAAGACAATTTTTTCTCACTTTGCAAAACCTTTGCCAACTGTAGTTTAATTCCACACCTACTCCATTCCACTGTCTGTGGCTTTGCCATGGTTTTGGGTGAAAAAACAACTAGAATAATAAATCATACTCATGGCTTCCACTTATTTGATAACATTTTGAGAACTATCCTATAACTGTAACTGAAAAATGTTTCAATTTGTACCCCAAGGTAGCAGCATTAATAGTGCCAGCCATCCAATATTTTCCCATCTACCTGGGTTACAATCTGCAAGGAATTGAATTGAATTCCTAAAAAAACCCAAGTACATAGCTTATTCACATATAGCTGTATGTGTAAACAGTCTCAGTTCTAGGACAGTGTTAAATTAAGAGGAATTCTAGGATTTATATATTTTATTTTATTAATTTCAGGTCTTACTCAATCACCAAGACTTTGTCTTCATCATAGATTTCAACATATGATATAAATAAGACAAGGTTTACATAACAGAGTGATGTGGAGGTTTTTAGGTGTGAGTGTGAGATGACCTTTGTAACTACCTCTTTTCCCCAAAGCTTTTTGATTCATCAGCAAATTTGTCTGATTCCAGATTCTTGTTTTCCAAGCTGCTTCTCTGGAAACTGGGAAATTGAAATGGAAGTTATTTGTGTGTTTATTGGTGAATGCACAGCACGTTTGGTGTTGTGTCCCTGCAATTTTTATTGCTAACATGGTAATAAAATGTTGAAAGCAATTGGGATCATTTCTACCTTAGGTTTGAACACTTCAATTTATTTTTTTTTATGCTACTTGTATTCTCAAAACTTCCCAAATTCTACTAAACCACAACCTTTAGTAAACTGCTACTTCTAAGCTTTTTTGAGAGTGGCTGGTTGCAGTACCTAAAACCTTACATGGAGTTAATTGATAGCACAGCTGGGTGATACCAACATCATCAATATAGCTTGGTTATGGTTTATGATATGATCCCATGTAATAGGATTATGCTCGGAGGCTGCATTTATCCACACTGCAAGTAAAGATTTTCAATTGTAACCAGCAGTGCAGTCGTTCTCTGCACAGGCATTCTACAGACTTTCTTACTGTGTTTTCTGGGATTTGTTTTTTCTCTGGCAATTTGGATTTTCCCTTTTGACACACGGAACTGGCTGAGGAAACCCAGCCAGCTGAGCAATTTCTAAGGTGCTGGGATGCACCTGGAGTATCTTCTTTCCCTCCTTTCCCCTCCCCTGCATATAATTGAAATGAAATATGTGGAAAAAAACCAACAAACCAGTCAGCAAGAATTATTGTTCTCTAAAGAACAATATAAGATTTTTCTTCTGCTTTCATATGGATTTTTTTTCAGAGCAGGTATCAAATTGTTGCAACTTCCTAGGTTGGGTGGGTGTCAAGATGTTAATATGTTAACAAAAAAAATGTGGTATCTCAAACAACACTGAAACTGGGTTTTTTTCTGAGCTTGGAAGTGCAGATACAGAGTAGTTCCCCTTCAGTAAAGTGGGAAGTTGAGGTGTGCATAGAGCAACCTCTCAAACCCAGAGTGCTCAGGAGGCCCAGTATGAGAGCCAATTGCTCTGTGCCACTTCCCGTGGTAGGTGAGGGTAGAATGGTAACACAACAGTTTAGCAGAGGAACTTCAGGTATATTTGCTGCCTTCTGAATGGCTGGTCCCTCAATGCAAAGATAGACTCCAACAAACAAAAAAACAAATGAGAAAGCAACCAAAAATCCCCCTCCCCCCCAAAAAAAACCCCAAAACAAACTCAAAGGAAAAAAACAAAACACAACAAGCACAAACAAGTGAGATTTTAAAATATAAATGCAGGAATAGAAGGGAAAGGAGACAGGTTTTAATCCCAAAGATGAAATGTCAATATTCCTCCAGCTGTAGAAATAATGGTTGCCCATTTTGGAACAGAAAGGGAATGTAGGCATTCAGGAAAAGAGAGCATGAGAAGTATAAACATATCACTCTGTCTCTAGAGAAAAGTTTGTTTCTATCAGTATTTAGACAACTCTATCCTCACCTTTCCTTTATAACAGACAACAGAGGAAAGCAATTATAGGAGTGGTCTAATTCCACTTTCTAAGTGAGTTTATTATACCAAGACACTTCAAATGAGCACTAGTAGAACTGCAGCATGAATATTGACATAATGAATGTTATGTATGAAGTAAAGAAGTTAGTCTAGAGCCAGGAAAGCCAGTTTCTAAGAAATCAGCCAAAGCTACTTTACAACATTGTCATAGCAATGTACTTGCAATTTTTCCATCTTTCCCTTCCCCAGTCTTGAGTTATGGGTAACAGAATAATTTCAGTTTACTGTAAGAAAGTAACCTCAAATATCAACTAAGTAATTATTTCCAGTCTACTGGAAATTCTAATATTGCAGTATACCAGCCTAGTATACTACAAATATACAATTTTTAGTATAGATAGTACATACCTGAGACATTTCCTATTATACCATCTGACTACCTTTGTATCTGCCCAAATATTTTTACACGGTTGTTTCAGACAATAACAACATGCATGTAATTAGTTAGAACCAGATGAAAATCCACCATTTTCCTCTTGGAGGAAGTTTCTTTACTTCTTGATTTTGTTACTTCTTTATTTTAAAGTTCATTTGATCATTTGCTACTATTAATTTCTATATTAAATTATGCCAGGTTCCCATCAGCTGCGACGTGAAAATAGCAGAGTTAAATATTAAATTTCTCATTAAAAAACCTGTGAAATGGTAAGCTCAAAATACTCCTGGGTTTAATTTGCATTGCTTCGAGTCTGACAAGGACCTGCCTGTTCTGTACTGCCCTAGGAAGAATTATTTTTCTGCATCTTACCTTAGGAGGAAGCCCCTGGTTAGTCTATCTCAGCATTGCCGAAGGAGCAAGCTGCGCTGCTGATCGCTCAGACCTTCCTTCCACTGTGCTGGGACATCTTTTGTATGAATATTATTTTTCCCCAAGAGTCAAAGCACAGATGTGGACAGATGCTGTATTCTGAGCAGACTTCTCGGCTCTTTGTTGCTGGATGCCAAGATCACTCAGCCTATACTATCTGTGCACGGTTTAAAAATCATCAGATGATAGGATGGTGCCTCTAGCCAAAATTATCATGCAATTATTTTAGGCAGTGGCATCTAACACAGCCATTCCCTCCAGGATCGATCTGCACATTTGCGACATCCCCATGCGTTGTTTTAGTTGGTTCTTCAAACATGACACTTCCACCAACTCCCAAATGGAATTTTATTTTGCAAAATGGCTAAATAGGCACCCTTTGCGCTACGATAGGTTCTTACATTTTCCTTTACATTCCATTAGTTTTGCTTTGAACCAATGCCCAGGGATCGTTAGGTCACGTCCGATTTCATACTCCATTGCCTGGTGAGTTAATTTAGGATGTGTTCAGGATCACTCTTTGGCAATGGAGGCCACAGGAACAGAGACTCGGGTCTCCAGTCAGAAGCACAGGCTTTCGTCACAGTGACCCTGTTCCAGCTGGGTTACAGAGCTAACCCCAAGCCCATTCTGAATTAGTATCTGTGAGACACAAAGTCTAAAAAAAGGAGTTGCCAAAATAGGATATTGTGAGAAATTAAGGCCACTAGAGTTGAAGTTCTGAAACTAACAGCTTCTGTTGCCTAATCCTGCCCAGGCCTACATTTTATGGAATTCCCAGCTATCAGGGTTTTTTTCTCTATTATCCCAGAACTTCTGGACCTTTTAATCCATCCTACAAGGCACCTGACTGCTTTCCACTCCAGCCTCTTCTTCCTAAAGGTATTCCCACTAACAGTGGCCAGTTCCCTAAAGACACTACCTATACCTCTTCTTTGGGATTATCTCAGCCTTAAGTACCAGTGCATCCTTCTCTCATCTCTCTTAAAGTCCTCTTTGAAGACACTTTTGGAGCCTTGTCCTGCAACAGATGAGGTGGCTACAGCATCTTTCCTCTACCCCCAGCCTAATGCAGCAGATGTCTGGTTTATGCATGTTACAAATGCTCTAGGGGCAGTACCATTACACTTTCTGCTCCTGAAAGATGTGTTAATATTCATCCAAGCTACTCAGCTCTGCACAGGCCTTTCTAATCCATATGCTCTCATGCAGTCTCTCAATCACATGTACTCTCATGTACCTGTCATTGGCATTTTTTCATGTCTCTTCTTTCCAAATACAGTGATAAAGTCATTAAGGCTTTACCTTGCTGCTTCAGTTGTCTCATAGCTTCAGCTCAGGTCTGGGTACCTTGTGCTGCCTCACCAGATGTTGTTGACCTGACATCTCCAGTGGCTTCCACAGTACCACCCTCTTCAGCTCTGCTCCCTGTGAAAACTTGGTAAGTCAGCAAAGCTGCACCACCTGTGATTTATTCAACCCATGGAAGAACAAGATTTGTCACTCCCTGAAGCAGCAACTTGTTCTAAGCCCAGCACATTTCTGTCCCACCTCTTCTCCCTCCCAGTAAGTCACAGCACCAGAACCACAGGCTGCCTACCTCTCTCTGCTCTCAGAGAAACCTGGCTTAAGATTTCAGTTTTCTTAGGGGACAGAGGACATGACAGTAGGCTGCATGGGAACAGTTTGTCATGTTT